TGCCCAGAACCTGGTTGTGGCAAGGGAGGAACTTATGTCCAAAGTCCATCAATTAAGTCAGGATCTTCCAAGAGCTCGTGCAGATATCCAGCAGATGCCAGCTCTTATTTCAGAACTTGAGAACCTCAGACAGGAATATCAGCACTGCAGGTATTTGTTTTACCTTATCTATGTTTATTTTGTAATTACATGAAAAATACAAACTCAAAATGGATGGCAAAGTAAGTATAAATATCAATTCTAATGCTTGGACTTGTGAATTGAAGAGAGTGCGTTTTTTGGATTCTGGAAAATGATTTCCAAGAAATGTCTAGAAACATATTTGCATGTATTTATTATTTGCACTTTTGTAAATTTTGTTTTGGTTCAACCTTGTCATTGCTGTTTTTATTTATGTAGTGGTTTGTTCTGTACAAGTTCTGTCCTTGGTTACTCTTTCCTAAAGTTGCAATGAGGGAGTACTTGCTTTCTGCTGTTTTGATTGCATGTGGCATTCAAAATGATCTCTCATTTGTTGATAATGCAGAGCAACGTATGACTATGAGAAAAAATTTTACAATGACCATCTTGAGTCACTTCAGGCAATGGAAAAGAACTATATAACAATGGCAAGGGAAGTAGACAAGCTCCGGGCAGAGTTGATGAATGCTGCAAATGCTGATAGAAGAGCTGGTATTCTACTGCAATCCATAAGATTTCCTCTTTTTGAGCTCTTTGTTTCTTTTCACTTGTGGTGCCGATAGCTCATGTTCATGACCAAATGCAGGCGGGCACTACAATGATAATGAGGGTCCTGGGCATCCATCTGGACACAATGCTTATGAAGATGGTTACAGTGTTCCCCAGGTATGTCATCCGCCAAGTGATTTGTTTGGCTTGGTTTTGATTTCAATATATATCCTAATAACTTTTATATGGGTTAAGAAAATGGAGCGAAAGCCTGTCTCATTTTTTTTATATTAATCTATTTTTGCCTCTCAAGATACTCGAAAAACTTTTTTTCACTTGTACTGAAACAT